CTCTTATGCAATTTACAGGCTTGGAGGGTCTAGCTATGAGTCAGAACCAGCTGGACAGCAAAGAGAGAGAGGGAGAATGTGGCCAAAGAGCTCTGTTGATACCATGGTTACTTAGCTTGAATGCTAAAAAAAAAAAGAAAGGCTGGCAGTCTCAACACCTCCAGCGTCCACAGGAGGAAAGGTCTGATGATCTGCTCTGATACAGAGTTTTTGTTGTTAGGTGCCATCGAGCCAGTGCTGACTCATGTATAACAGAGTGAAACACTGCCTGGTTCTGTGCCGTCCGCACAATCATTGCTGTTAGAGCCCATTGTGGAAGCTGCTGTCAATCCACCACGTTGATGGTCTTCTTTCTTCCTGACCTTCCCTTTACCAAGCATGATGTCCTCCCTCAGGCCTCCTGCTAACACGAGCAAAGGACAGAGAAGGTGAAGTCTCATCGTGCTTGCCTCTAAGGAGCACTCTGGCTGCACTGCTTCCAAGATGGATTTGTTCATTCTTCTTAGTTGTTGTTATGTGCTGTCGAGTCGTTTGCGACTCATAGCGACCCTATGTACAACAGCCCTAACCCCTGCTCTATCCTGTGCCAATCTCATGGCCTCTGACACACCCATCCCGATTACCCCAATCACTGAATCAATCCACCTCATAGAGGGTCTTCCCCTCCTGCGCCGTCCCTCCATCCTCCCAAGCATAATGTCCCTCTCCAAGGACCGGGTCCCTCCTTACAACATGTCCAAAGTATGCTAGACGAAACCCCAGAATCCTTGCCTCCAGGGAGTAGCCTGGCTTAACCCTCTCCAGGACGAATCTGTTTGTTTTCCTAGCAGTCCATGGTACATTCAATACTCTTCTCCAGCACCACAGCTCAAAGGCATCAATTATCCTTCTATCCTTCCTAGTCATTGTCCAACTCTCTGATGCATAACAAGTGATTGCAAAGACCATAGCCTGTATCGGGCGTACCTTATTCTCTAGAGTGACACCATTGCTCTTCAGTACTTTGGAGAGGTCCCTAACAGCAGACTTTCCCATTCATTCTGATGCTGCCAACTGGTCCTCAGAGTCACTGTAAAGTCAGTATTCTTTCAGCACTGACATTTAAACTCACTACTTCTGCTTTGGTCTTTAGGACTCATTGCTCAGCTTTCCTACGCATAGAAGGGGATTGAAAGTGCTCTGACTTGGGCCAGGTCCACCCAGTCCTCAGGGTTTAAACACATCTTTGTTTTGAAACACCTGCAGGAGGTCTTTTGCAGATGTTTTCCAATGTTGATACATCATGTGATTTCTTGCCTGCTGCTTCCAGGAGCATTGAGGGTGGATCCAGACCAACTGTGTGTCTTCACAATGTTAATCTTTTCTCCACTTGCCATGTGTTCGATGACTGGCCCACGTGTGAGAATGTTTGTTTTCTTTACCTTAAAGTATAATCCCTGCTGAAGGCTGTAGTCTTTGATGGTCACCAGCAAGTGCTTCAAAACCTCACTTGGAGCAGGCAACGCTGTGTCACCTGCACATCACAGGTGGCTACATGAGTCTTGCTGCAATCCTGATGCTGTGTTCTTCAAATAGGCTGGCCTCTTGGTTTATTTCATCAGCATAGAGATTGAGTAAGTATGGTGAAAGGATATACCATGACACACAACTTTTCCAATTTTAAACCACACTGTATCCCCTTCTTCTGTTTAAAGAACTGCTTCTCCGTCCATGCATAGGTTCCACGTAAGCACTGGTAAATGTTCTGGAACAACCATTCTCTGCAATGTTACTCACCGTTTGTTACGATCCACACAGTGGAATGTTTTTGCAGTCAATGAAAGGGAAACATTTTTCTGGCATTCTCTGCTTTGAGCCAAGATCCATATGATATCAACAATGATATCCCTTGTTCCAGGTCCTCTTTTTTTTAAAATTTCTGTTCATTCATTGTTGCACTTTTCTTCCTGCCAACCCCCGCCCCTTCTCTTTGAAAAGTGAAAGAAAAATTCTCTCATTGTTATACAATCCCTCCCCTCAAGTTCACTCCACTATGCAGCCTTCATTCTTGACTCCTGTCATGACAATAATACCTAATCACATGTCCCTTTTAAACAGTTCTCTCCCTCATCTGTTTCAATGCAGTATACATTATTCATCCCATCTTTCTCAGTCTCCCCCTCCATGTTCTCTTTTAAATTCAACTTGAATTTCTACCAGTTCCCTGTTGATGTACTTCCACAACCGTTTTTTGGGGGTGGGTTTTTTTTTTATCATCTTCAGGAAAATTTTACTTGTATGTAGTATTAGTGAGACATTCCTTTAGTACTCTTTGCTTTCTGCAAAGAGCCATGTGACATTGGTAATAATGTCTCTAGTGCCACGACCTCTTCTAAACCCAGTTTGTGTTTCTGATAGTTCTCTGTTAATGAACTAACTGCTCCAGTTGTTTCTGAATAATCTTCAGCAGGATTTTTCTAGCATGTGATATTAGTGAAAATGTTCTATAATTTCCACACTCTGTTGGGTCACCTTTTTTTTGGAATGGGAATAAATATGGATTTCTTCTAGTCAGTTGGACAAGCAGTTGTCCTTCAGATTTCTTGGCACAATGTGGTGAGCACATCCAGGGCAGCATCTGTTTGTTGAAATATGTCAACTGATATTCCATCAATTCCTGGGGCTTTATGGAAGAAAGCAAAGAGTACCAGAGGAATGTCTATTTGTGTTTCATTGACTATGCAAAGGCATTTGACTGTGTGGATCACAACAAACTGTGACTAACCTTGAGGAAAATGGGAATCCCAGAGCGCTTGATTGTACTTATGCAAAACCTATACTTTGACCAAGAGGCAGTCATCAGAACAGAGCAAGGAGACACTGCGTGGTTCAAAATCAAGAAGGGAGTGCATCAGGGATGCATCTCACCTCCCCTGCTTTCCTGGCATCCGGATGTGAGCCAGGTGGAGCTGACGCTCTAAGTGCCCAGG